AGCGTTTGTACGAAGTTCGCCCGTTCGCGCGTCCAGCGTGAAAAGATCTTTATATCGAGGCGGAACTTGGAGAGAGTAGACCACTTCACCGTTTGTACCAATGTCTTTATCTGTCGCAGTAACATTCAGCACAAACGTTCCTACACGAGAATTCTCTCTAACCTCGCCGACATAGCGATCTTTGCTGAATTTGGGAAAGTGATCGTTCGAATCTAGAACTGTGATACTCAAACCTTTGCGTCCAACCCTTGGTGGGCTACCCCCATCTCTCGCCTCGATCACCAAATAGTAGCTGTCGTTTATTTCGCGGTCCAGCCTTTTCGACACGACAAGTTTGACTTGAAATATTTCCGAAGTAGAGCGCAACACTTTTAAGTCAAACACCCCGCCGTCGTTCCTGTCAACAATCTCGTAACTTTGAACAGAATTGTTACCAATGTCCGAATCTTCCGCCACCGTTATTGGAAACTCTGTACCTAGTGGAACAGATTCTTTAAAAGAAATATTCTCAATATCCTCCTTAAAAATGGGACTGTTGTCATTTATGTCTAGAGTCTTGATCTCGGTCAGTATGTACTTGCAAAATGTGAGTAGCGATACCAGCCACAGCAGCATTCGCGCCATGACGCTCGCGAGCTAAGTGGAGCTAAATCTTGAACACGCCGCGATAGGCCCTTTGCAGCTAAGCCATCACGTGACCTATTTTTCATGAAATTATGGGGTGTAACTTAACGAATGCCAGAACTGGTAAAAGCATGTCGAAAAGGTCAAAATGGCCCAGTTTGAGGCCCCCATCATTAAAGAAGGAGATTTCATGACGGTCCGAATTTTTAAAAGAATAATATAAGAAGATTTGTATGGAAAAAGTTGCTGGAGAGTAAGACGTTGCTCTTTGACTTTTTCAACAACCTCAGCGGAAGTCATCTTCAGAGCCTTGTGATATTGGTGGTAAAAAAAGATAGGTATGATCGAAAAAGGACGTCAACAGAAAATTTCCTTTGAGTAGAATCAATGTTGCCCGGCGAGTAGGCTCTCATCTTTGGGTTTCGCGTTCACTTCTCGGGCTTGGCTCGTGGCTTCGCCGTTCCCACAGAACCCTAAACAANGTCGTTTATTTCGCGGTCCAGCCTTTTCGACACGACAAGTTTGACTTGAAATATTTCCGAAGTAGAGCGCGACACTTTTAAGTCAAACACCCCACCGTCGTTCCTGTCAACAATCTTGTAACTTTGAACAGAATTGTTACCAATGTCCGAATCTTCCGCCACCATTATTGGCAACTCTGTACCTAGTGAAACAGATTCTTTAACAGAAATATTCTCAATATCCTCCTTAAAAATGGGACTGTTGTCATTTATGTCTAGAGTCTTGATCTCGGTCAGTATGTACTTGCAAAATGTGAGTAGCGATACCATCCACAGCAGCATTCGCGCCATGACGCTCGCCAGCTGAGTGGAGCTAAATCTTCAACACGCTGCGATAGGCTCTTTGCAGCTAAGCCATCACGTGACCTAATTTCATAAAATTATGGGGTATAACTTAACGAATGCCAGAACTGGTAAAAGCATGTCGAAAAGGTCAAAATGGCCAAGTTTGAGGCCCCCATCATTAAAGAAGGAGATTTTATGACGGTCCGAATTTTTAAAAGAATAATATAAGAAGATTTGTATGGAAAAAGTTGCTGGAGAGCAAGACCTTGCTGTTTGACTTTTTCAACAACCTCAGCGGAAGTCATCTTCAGAGCCTTGTGATATTGGTGGTAAAAAAAGATAGGTATGATCGAAAAAGGACGTCAACAGAAAATTTCCTTTGAGTAGAATCAATGTTGCCCGGCGAGTAGGCTCTCATCTTTGGGTTTCGCGTTCACTTCTCGGGCTTGGCTCGTGGCTTCGCCGTTCCCACAGAAGCCTAAACAAGGGAGCTTACTCGCAGGCTACGTTCAATGGTCGTAGGCACATACCAAGTATTTGTAAATTATATTTATAAAGTCATTACGTGATAGAGCTGCACACCGCTACTGTAGGAACGACAAAGCTGCCCTACTTCCCTCAATTCCTACTGTTTAGTTAGGATTTCAGTAATCTTGCACCCAGACCTCCCACGGCCAAGCGGAAGGCGTC